AAAACGAAACAACAAGGAGAACGAATGAAACAAAAAAAAAAAATTCCATCACATTACTTATATCGAAAAATTACATATTTTCTGTCTGCAATTTTTGAAAAACACAATTTTTGTTAACAGATCCCATCTACGATTCTAAGATAATAAATGAAGTACCGACGAAATACCGATGATTCCACGTTCAAGAATCGAGAAGTTCAGAAACGTGAGGCTTGTATAAAGAGAATAATATTCGACAACGAAATTTCGATCGTTGCAACAAATCCGGGATCACAGATTACTGCGGTGGTTGTTGCGGATCGTTTCCGATAAACGTCCGTATACCATAGAGGATACTGGTTAGGCGTTGGCTCACGTTGTCGGATATATAGCATATAACAGGCTTAGCTTTGACAATGGCGCCGGTGCCAGTCGAGCCACAACAAGTTGCCGTGTGACCTTAATGGACTTTCGATTGAATTCCTCCGGAGCGGAGGGAGACGGACATCTGCCGTGATGGACAACCGCACTACAATCGGCGCACAAACGTATATGCGTGTGTGCGCGTGTTGACACACGCGTGCTCGATCGAAGAAGAGACGCGTTTCGGGACAAAAGATGTCCGTTCAAAACAATGATTCGGCATGGAAGAAAAAAAAAAAGGTTATTTCGATTCTTCCTTCCTTCTGTTTCCAATTTTGCCTAACGACGAATCGTGATTGATGGTAATTGTTCCCAACCAATTCGAGATTTTGAGATTTGAGATACGAACGTAATGGCAGAAATCGGGCAATTTTTGTGAGTAAACAATTTTTCGAAAATATTCTTTTAGAAAGTTATAAAAGATATGTTTTTTTTTTGTTAGTAATCGAATTTTATTGGTAAAAAATTGGCCAATTTCTACCTTTAACTTGCGTCTAGCTATCTACTGTGTTCTCGATGGTAGATGGAATTTGATGATTGGAGGCTCGTCTGATATGAATCCTTCTTGTTGTTGAATTTGCGAAAATTGGTTAAGATGATCTAGCAAATACGAATATTACAACTATAATTAGCATAAATAGGATTTACGCGAGCTTATTGGAAACGACGACTATACATAGGATGCTTTTAACGAGTCCTAATATATCTTTAATTACAACGATCCAGAGGTAATTAGACTTTCCAAATGGATTAATAATTCATCTTTGTCTTGAATCTTTGGATGCATCGTAATAAAATTTCCATGATAAAATAACTCAGTGCATCGAGTACAAAATGTTACAAATGTTGTATACTAGTTTTATCAAGTAATCGTAATTCTATCAAAATTAGGAAAAATTTGAACCGTTATAATTCCGAAGATAATAATTTTCGATTAACGAACGAAAGACCATTGGAAGCGTGGAAATTCGCCCTTTAAAATCCTTCTCCATTTATCCCGATACGACTTCCGGTTCCCGAGATATCCTCGTGTAAAGAAAAGATAATTCTCAATCGTTCATCTCGACTCTATCGAACTCTATTAAAATTAGAAAAAAATTTGAATCGCTGTAACTCCGAAAATAATAACTTCCTGGCGATGAACGAGAGATCACTGGAAGCGAGGAACCTTCTTCTTCGAAACGCTTTTTCGTTTATCCCGATACGACTTCCGGTTCCCGAGATATCCTCGCGTAAAGAAAAAGATAATTTTTTAATCATTTAGCTTAAATACGTTTAAACCCTATTAAAATTCGAAAAACTTTGAATCGCTATAACTCCGAAGATAGTGAATTTTAAACAACGAGCGAGGGGTCATT